AAATGTGTGCAAATGTATAGTGGATCTTGTTTCGTCAAGCTTTCGCGAAAACATCCCAAACATGCATTTCATTTCCAAAAACCTTTCACCTCAGCAGTTTCTTCATCAAGGTCTTAGTCTTGCTGGGACATCAAGATCGCTCGAGTATACAACATACAGTTTCTCCCCTCCTCATTGTCATAGCCAGGGATTCGGGCTGGCTCAAGATGGGAAACACCCCTGATGAGCACAGCAGGAGCACACGGAGAATGCACTGACTGACTGATCTGACTGCTTCCAGGCTGATATGTCATGCCATGGAGGACGAACGAATTTCTTTATCAGCCGATCTTTCAGTCTTTGATAGTCTTTGCGTTCACTGCCTCCAATGTCACTTGCCGAGCGTCAAAACTTCGACAGAAAGCTCCCACAAGAAGCTGCTATGCTCAATGCAAAGTGATTGCTATGGACTGCTTCGCCACATTGTCTCCTGCGTCGTCCACTCCTCCCCCAGCCTGAAATCCAACTCAGGCCATGGTGCATAGCTGGGTGTCTCCACAGCAGGTGAGCCTGAAGATTGGCTTGGGACCAGATACTTGTTGGTTTGATGATTTGAATGGAAGTTGAGATTTCATGAGATTGATGTGGATGGACCGGGCATCTTTTTGAATCTGGTCATCAGTGACAAAGAAACATGATTACCCTCTTCTCTGCTGCCCAAGCAACGATATACCGGTCCAAGCTTGGATCCTGTACCATTGGCAGTCAACATCGTCAACATCCAATGGTGAACATATCTTCTCTAACACAGTACTTGTCCCGGTGACTCCACCACAAGAGCTAGCAGCTAGATCATCATCATCATCATCATCATCATCATCATCATCATCATCATCATCATCATCATCAAGTCATGAGTTTGGCCCACTACTTTGACAGGACACACACACACAAAACAGCGTTTGCTCTCAATGATACACCCGTGGCGTCAAGTACGCAGCTTGTTGGCGCCTGCAGCTGCAACGCTGAGAAGCAAAGAGGCTGCAAACGTGGGGTCAAAGGCCATGCCTCCCCAACTGCAATTGTGAAACTGTTGTCAAATGCAATCGAAAGACTCGTGCAACGATCATCCCCATGCATTTGCATCAGTACCTCCACACACGGATCTTGCCTGGTGATGCGGGTGACACCGGTGCTGTTGGCGCGTTGGCCTCCGGTTTGGTTGAACAGATTCGCCCTTTCAAGTGCGGTCAGGGGAGAAGACATGAGAAGACAATAGAAGACAAATCTGGATCAATGACCCACCAAACTTCAACAACCCCGATGAATTGTGATTGCATACCTGAACTTGTGAACCTGTAAGAGCAGCCAGTCTGTGTTAAACGTGCATGGTTGGTAAAAGTCGCTGGCCATCTCCCGTAATGTTCCGCGTAAAAGCTGCCCTCTGCCTCTGATTTTGACAAAGGTATCAGCTCATCCTCTCCATGGGCATGGCGGCACTCCTGAGAAGTCAGTGAAAGTATGTGAAAGTTCACACCTGTTCAGACTTTACCAAACTGGGTGGGCAAAAGCATTCCTAGAAATAACAGAAACAGAAACAGCGTTTCGGGATTTCGATTGAAGCCTCCAGGCGTTCTTGGTCGGTGTTTCCGGCGTGTCGGGTGCGGATACGGTGCTCCTCTCCCAGGCGACAGCGGCCCCGCAAGTGGAACTTGCACAGTGAAGTCTGCAAGGGCGAAATGGAGAAGGAGAGAAAACGAGAACTTCCATGAACTTCCATGAACTTCCATGCTGACTCAATAGAACTTCCATGAAAAATGCTGTCAAATATAGAGGCCTGTTGAGAGAGCCTCAAATATGGACTTGTTCCAAGACCAGCTCTCCTTCTCGCTGACTTGCGGACCGAACGGCCTTGAAGAACTTGTGAGTGGCTCGAAGCTCTGAAGGGTCATGGGCGAAGGAACACGCTGGATTCGTGCAAGCTCCAGTCATTGAGAACTCACCTGAGCTCCGCAAGCATTTCCAAAGGGTGAACACTGTGAAAACATATGAAAACTGATAGAAGATGATAGAAGGAAAGGGTCTTCGATTTTGAGCCACCGTATTTGGGTCTCAAAGAATCAAGCTTGCACTTGGACAATCCCTCGGCACATAGATTTAACAAAACGAGTCCAAGGCACGGCAAAGGGAGGTAAAGGTGAGGTCAGGCCTCGACTGCAACCTGAGCTGTCAGCTTGAGAAGAATGCCCGGCACCACGTGTTTTGTCTCTGTTGGCAAACATTTGCTTCCAGATCTCTCAGATCAAACGAATTCAGAAGTTCACTGTCTGCTAAACAACCCACCGACCCGCCAGTTTTCCGGTGCAAAGCAGCTCAGTATCTCCGTGCGCGTACTTGCACATCGCGCCACGGGTGCACTTGCCATTTGCGTAGAAAGAGCACGCACGGGTCTTGTAGAACCTGAGATGTCGGGCCTCCATGTTGCGTGACAAATGCTTCAGCGGGTTCACTTGCGTCCATCCATTTGCTAGCCTATCAATTTGAACTGCAGGTTTGGTTCGTTAGTTTTCCTGCAAAATCCAACGGTAGGACGGTGGTCAAGCGGCTGCATTTCGTAGCGAGCTCGGTCCTTGTTGGCAGCCTTTGTTCTGAGTCAGCAAGCAAAGTAGTCAAGCTCTTCAAGACAGAAAACTACACACTATTCCGCCTTTCAACATCTGTCCCATCTGCGCCATGATACGTTTGGCATCGTGGTCTGAGTCTGCGCCATGCCCAAATAAGCGATGTATGGTCAGGAGCCTCAGTGTGTCGCGTTGAAAAACGAAACAAACAAAAAGCAATGCAGCAGGCTAGGCAGACTGAGAATCAAGCAACTCTCGGGAGATGGAGCTGAGCTCAGAAAATCTTGGAGCCCAAAACCATAGCCGAACGCATCATGCCACTAGCAGTATGGGCAAAATGCAAAATGACACAAGACATGAAAACAAGGCTTTGGCGGAAAGGTTAGAGTAAAGCTTTGTTTTTGGCCAAAGAAAAAGTGCCGCAAATGCTTTACGTCGGCCTGGAGCCTCACTAGGACTCAGCGCTTAGTCAAGTTTGATTATATAACATATTTTGAACACATCCAGCTTTGCACCTTGTCAAGTGCTGCACGCAGTTCGGCATTGTTCTGCTCCACCTGGCAACTTGACTAGAATGCTCATCTCGCAAAATAGCTTTGCCTTCAAAGGATTCAAGGCTTGAAGCCAATCGCTCACGTTTTCCAACTTCGGGAACATATGACATGATAAAACAAAGATTCGCTTTTAATCTGCTGCTATCGGGAGTTTCCCGAACCGTCATTGTGATAGAATAACCTGCCCTGCTCCAGTCTCGCACCTGCCCGTAGCTCACTGCCATGGACCTCATACATAAATATACACAACAGAATGGTATAGAATGGCAATATATTCAATACTCCTGAAAGGCTTAAGTGGCTTAAGATGCTTAAGGCTTAGGAATTGTAAAGGGTTGCCAAAATCGCTTGAGAGGAAATATAAGAGGAAAAGAAAGACCCTTAAAAAACATGGCACTTTTACAAACTTCCACCTGGAACTCGGAAGCTCCTTGAGCAATGCTCACGTCTCAGATCACTCGGGTCACTGGCTGTAGCTGTAGTTCCAATTCTGACACTGCCATCCTGAGCCTCGGAGGGAGCTTCGTTGAAGAACCCTTCGTCCTCGCAGCATCTAGCCTAGTAGCTTCTTGCTCCTAGTAGTAAGGCCAGGAGCCCCTAGTAGCGTCCTTGCTCCTGTAGCTTCTTGTTCCTAGTAGCTTCTTGTAACATCTAGTAGTTTCCAATCCTTACTGCTAGCTTGAAGTTCTTGTCCTATCCTCACAGGAAACGGATTTAAGCAAATTATTCTAAAAAAAGTAAAGATTTAAAGAGTCCACCTAAGCTCTCTATATATATACATATAATATGATATATAATGATATATATATATATTTGTTTTCTTACAAGGGGTTGATCAATGAGGTGAACTCTGAGCCCCAGCTTGTTCCTCTCGGTCTCGAGGCGGCTGACTTCTTGATCGCGCTGGCAGCATGGATTTGGTCCGGCGACGGTTTTGTCCAGTTTGGGTGAACACGGCTGAGTCCCACCCAGTCATGGTGTGCATGGCTGCACGGAAAGCATCAGAATGCTAGAAACGTGTCTCATAAGCACGGGGCAATAAAATTCCCTTTCTTCACATTCATACACATGTTATTTCCCACACAACCAACCATCCTCACACATCCTCAGAAGCCCTTGCTCAGCGGAGAAGGTCTGAGATGAGAGCGGCAAGAAAAAGGACATACTATTGACAATCATACTGCAAGTAGGCTGTCAACTTACGCCTCATTTGACATGCGGAGATCTGGTTGACGACTGGTTGAGTGTTGAGAAGGTTTGGCCAAGCCTGCATGAAATTTACCTGCCTCTTCCTGGATATACTATAGAACACTATTGTCAATGAACTATCAAACTGTCTGAGGACTCACAGGAATGCCTGGCTTGGCAACATTAACCCAGCCAGGCTTACCCGACTTTGCAGCTGCTCCACTTCCAAGTGCAAGGCCTTGCCATTGTTCGGAATTGAATAGGACAGACGGCAATGGCATGACTTCAACAACATGCCTTGTTCTCCGTCTCCAAGGCATCTGCCTGAGGCGTTAAGCTTCTCAAGCGTAGACACAGCCATGAATGTGTTATACAACTCACGCTGGAAAGCCAGAAGCTACTGGTAACAAGGTGCCTTACTAGTAGTAACAAGAAGCTATTAGAAGCAAGTGCATCGCTACTAGATTTGGATACTGCTACGCTTGCATGCTGTGCATGGGCCTTTGGACACAAACACACATACAGTGCTAGAGCCGCTAGAGCTCTTTGGCACCTCGAAACTGTACACGAGGGTATTTCAACCGCTAAAATATGATCATTGAAGGCTTGTCTGTCTGAACACTTTGCAAACAGAGTCACAACAAATATCAGCAAAGTATCATTTGGAATCAAGCACGCGCTTGGCGTGTTTCTCGGCCATTTCTTGAAAAGCGTGCAATTGATCCCGGAGTCCCGGACAAAGAGCATCAACATTGGCTGCATCATTGGCAAATTCCTGCCCCAACACATCCAAGTTCTGGAAAGCACACCTCACCCGAGTGGCATAATCCTCAAAACCGTCGCAGTCTTTGCAAACCGGTTCTCGTAGCATAAGATACCTGATCAAAACGGTGCGGGCACATCGACACGTGTGTGAGGTTAAGCCATCGTTCGTTGGTGAATGGTTGGGGAGGCTTCAATTGGTATTGACGGTTTCAAAAGTGCAAGAATTGCTGGCAGCGGGCTCTCTGCAAGTCTGCACGTAACGCTGCAGAATCACACCCTTCCTGATGGCTTCAGGCACGCTCTCATCATCAGGTACAACGACATCTTGACAAGTGGTGAAGCAGCGCTCACCGGCCTGCGAGTCGAAGTGCAGTTGAACAGGCTATCTCTTGAGCTCAGGAACTTTACCATTAACCAACCGACCTGGAGACCTGCATGTCCTGCTGAGACCTGCCCACATCTGACCACAGAGGTGCCCTAGCTTCCCTGTTGCTTCTCCTTGATCATTGAAAGCTGAATCAAACATCTTCTGACTTTGAGGGGAAACGTTTCTGCATATTGTGGACACAGTATGCTCATTATTAATTATACAGTGTGCAATAGTGTGCAGTACAAACTATGCGTGTCTATGCGTCACATACTACATTGTCGTAACATTTTCATACTGATCGTCTGCCTGGTATCGCAAGGTCAGACGTACCTGTCCGCTGCCACCACGGAGACGCAAAAGAATGAGGCCTCCATCCACTGCACCATCGGCGTGCACGCCGCTGGGAAACACGGTATCGACACGAATAACACTTCTTACCCCAGAAGAAAGGAAGCTGAAGATGCCTTGCAACGCAGGCATTGGTAAGCCAGCCGGGAATTGCCTTTCATGGGCCAAGTTGATCAAGGCATATCAAAATGACTCGCTTTTTGACTCTTTGATATTCTTCAGAGTTTTTCGAACACTCTTGCCGCTTTGCCCTCAACAATCCTCAACCCTTACCCGGCCTCTGTATACAAAGAAGAAAGGTTGAGACCGTCGACTTGAAGTCCAGTGGATAGAAGCGATGGACATCAGGCATCCATTCAGCTTCCACAAGCTCATCTCGAGCATCAAAGGGAGTGCCATACACAGATGCCAGCTGAAAGGAATCACTTTGCTGGGTGACCTCAAGAAGATCAAAACATTCAGGAGGTTCTGAGTAAATAATTCCTAGCTGCTAGCCCAAAACATGGCGCAATCATGCGCAATCTCCTACATCTGGCTAGGGATCTGATCTCACATCTTCTCACATCTTCTCACATCCTTCAATCTCAATCTCTCCCTCTGAAATCCTGGAAGCAAGGCCTCAACATCGAAAGCCACTGGAAAGAAGTTCCAATCGAAATTGTCTACGATGGTCTTGCGCATCTCCTCATCTCGTGTAATGCAAAAGTAGTTCGATCCTCTGTGCTTAGACACTTGTTCCGCTAGTTCAGCTTTGAAGTTCTGTCCAATCCCAACAAATGACACGTAGAGCCCACGCTCAGACTGCTTGGCCACCATATTGTCCAATTGACCGGGTCGCATGTCATCCATATCAGTCAGGAACAGCAGCCTTCGATGTCTTTCCTTGATGTCTGTCTCTCCAGAGATCTGGACGGCAGCTTCCAAGCCAGCTGAGATTGTTGTGCCACCGCCGGCCTGTAACGCCACAATGCGCTCTTGAAGCCTTGGTTTCACAGCTCACATTAACCAAGAGTTTGATTCATCTCACATGGTCAAGCACGTCAACGGATGGTTTCAAGAGTAACTGATGAGTTTTTGACTGTGCGTTGCCAGAAAATGCTAGATGTGTCAAACAACACATGTAAAACACGTTTGAAGCTGGCCGAAATGAGTGACATCAGTTTCCCAACTAAGGGGCTCATCTTGCTGAAGTATTGATACAAAGGTCAAGGGTTGGATCACACGCCCTTCATTTGAGAAGGTTGCCAAACCAAATCGGTCGTCCGGTCTCAGCTTGGGAAGCAAAGCCATCAAGGCATCCTTGGCTAAGGCCAATCGTGGCACACCACCAGATCGAAGAGCACCATCAACAGGCCAGTTCCTTTTCACTGAATAAAAAGGTTGAAACACAAACGGGTTGAAAGAGGTCGGTGGACTTAGGGAACCTAAAATGCTTGTGCATCTGCTGGCAAGGTGAGGGGCAAAACTGTGAGACATGCATAAATACACAAATATCTGCCCCTGCTGACCCGTCATCCCTTGAAGAAAACAAGTGAAGCCGAACCAGGTTGGACCTGTCAACTGCTTTAGTGCGTTGGCGTCAACAAAAGCAGTGAACAGAGCGGCGCATGCGTGGTTCCGGGCTGCCACTGTGCACTCAGGTCCCCAGGATGCCTCCCCAACACATCATGAATCATGACAGCTGACAAAGTTGGAGAGAAAAACAGCAAACAAATTCAAACATTTCATTAGACTAGGTGGCTCAATCCGGCTCAAATCATGGGAGATTCACCCGACGTTTTTACCAGGCGAAGGTCCCTCACTTTTCCGACAGGACAACTGGCATTCTCTTGAAACACCCCCCAGTCAGATTGCCAATGCCAATATGGGGACCTTGTTTGATTTTGAGGAAGCGGGAGGCACCTAAAATGCAATGGCAAGTCTTCTTGGAAGGGCACTTCTGATCCTCTAATCCCGAGTTCCTATTAATAAACCCTCCCCAATTAAAAAAACACCACGTCCGAACCCCTAAATCCGGTTTATATTTGGTTTTAAATTGCCGCCCTTTCAAGCCGCTACTAAACTACCAACATGGTCGATTTTGGGGGTAGTTTTTTTAATTAGGTTCCCCAAAACTCCACCATGACACGCCGCGCTTACACCAGCAGGCTTTCCTTCCCTCAATGGCAGAGACTCACGCAAACGCACTTGCCACCGAGGTCATGCAACACCGCATGGCACAGCGACATCACCTATCGAAAGCTTTAGCTGTTAGTCTACTGAAGAATCACTATTCTAATGAAGGTTTTTGTAGGGGAAAAGGAAGACCCTTCGATCTGGCGGTTTTTTTGCATTTTTGATATGAGTTTAATAAAGGATTTTATATAAAATTTTCCTGGATTACTTTTTGGTTTTGAAACTCTTTCCAGGTGACCCTATTTTGCCCCCCCCCGATTTCAGGGACCCCCTATTAGAAAAAATGCGACCGAGGTTTTTTTAATAGGGGGGGGGGCCGTGTTTATTAATAGGAGGATGGGATTACTGATGGAAGCGCTTGCAGGTACACCGGGCCTTTGCCGGAAGAGGGACCCTTCTACGACCAGTTCGTTTCCACAAACACAACGAATGGCCCAAATGAATCAGTTTTGTGGGTCCGCTTGTCCCACCAGCAGCCCTAAATGAAATTATGAAAGAAGTGAAACACAAAGAGTTAGTAAGACCAACCAATCAACTGAGGAACTTCGCTGAGGAGGTTTTGTATCGGTTTCGCTCGGTATATACTGTATTCAGATGACTTGACCTCTCGGCTGCCTCAAAACTGTTTGTAGACATTTGTAGACCCTCTTTTCGCCCTGGCAAGCTCCGACTGCGCGGTAGAAACGGAAGGAGAACGGACGACTCGCCCTGGCACTGACGACGATCCTTCCCCCTGAGCCTGTGAGGTTTTTCCACTAGAAGCTGGTCAGTTGCGGCATGTTGCGATGTCTTTTCCACTAGAAAACGGCCAGTTGCTGTGCTCACCAACAAACCAAAAAGCTTCTACAAACACATACTCATACAAGCGAAACAAAGTCTGTCAGCGCACAAACACATGTCTGCCAAGAGCCCCATACGTCAAACCTCCAAAAGTCTTCCCTCCACGAGGAAGCTAAGAGGCTAAGAGCAAGGCTAGACTGCGCTTTCATGCGGCAAACTTGTGGCACAGGACGCCAAAGAAAGAAGGGAAGACGTCTCACAGAGAGCTGCGGGGCCCGCTTGAGTCCCAGCACGCTCCAACCATGCCCAAACTCTCACATGAAATGGAAGACAACTAAGACAGGTTCAAGACAGCAGCCGCGAGGCTACGTGCAAGCCGACTTGTTCACGCCATCCCTGAACACCAGCACAACACATCTTTAGGTGCCTTGCTGCAACTTGCTAGCGTAGGGTGGCCGATCGCCGACTGCAGATTCAAGCAGGCCATGTCTCATTGATGGTCTTGTTCAAATCAGACGGTCCAAGTGATCAACCAATCGAATGGCGACTGCCAACTAAGATCAAAAGAATGGACCAAGTGAGGGTCACCAAGTCTGGCAGGCGCCATACGGTGAGGGTCAAAGGTCGCAAAGCACGGCCTGACCTGGGCGATGGTGCGGCTGCATTCTTGAAGGTGCGGCGGGGGCTGCGCAACTCTGGCTATCGGGGCCAGGTGCTTGCGAGCCGCCGCCAAGCAAACAATCTACTTCGTGAGCAAGGTGTTTGTTGAAAGATTTCATTTAATAGGTTTATGTATTTTGTTGATGCATTCCAATAATGGAAGGATTACTGCCTGTGAGTAGAAGCCAAGATACAACCGACTTCAAACGCGCAACTCTAAGATCTCCGGCACATGTTGCTAGCTTCCTCCATGTTTGAGTTTTTTGTCTGAACCTCCTTCATCTGCGGAAAGCAAGAAGTTATGAATTGTCAGAAACTTGAGGTCAGTCAGATGTTTGATTCTTCTTTATTCTGTTCTATTGCGGGGATTCTTCATGAGGGTGCTTTTCTCGCGCTGTAATTAAAGAGAATAGCCTGAGAACAGTAAACAAACAATGATACAAAGCAAAGGACCCCCAAATAATGAGACGTAAGGTAAGAAAGCTTCTGGGAAACAATCAAGGTGGATGCCGTGGGTTAAAACAGGGTTTCTTCAGAAGCAGTCAAGGCGCATGGACCCTGAAACATCCAAAACCACGATTAGGTCCATGGGCACCTCGTCCCGTGGCTGTCCATCTCGGCTGGACTTCAAAAAGCAAGCGAGCCAAAGTCCCGCAGAGCCCTCTTCCTCAAAGCGCGAAGCATAGGCACTCACAGCCAGTTTGTGCACCTCCTCAGGTCCGCCAGTCTGATAGCTGTGCTGATTGAAAACGCCTCAATGCGACGAACTGAAGAATGCCATGTCATAATGAAGTCCTGAATTCTTGCGCGCATGAGTCATGGCCATGGCACACCCTTCCTCCTACCAATTTGCTGCAAGCATCCTATATCACCCTCATCTTGCGGCTAGCCGCTAGCTAGCCTTGACCATCTTCAATCTGCATACAACTAAGAGGTTTGGATTTTTGACCAGGATCTATGTGTGTGTGTGCTCTATGTGTGCTTGTTAATGACCAACAGGAACCCTGCTACTGATAATGCCAAAGCTGATTCATGGAGAGCATAGCTCTCAACTTCTCTTACGGTTCCTATGTTCATTTTGCTAGCCCAAAAGCATCATGTAAATCCATGCATAGCATCTCACTCTTGACTCAATTCAACTGCTTGAATCTCTTACTCTGTTACCCCATGCTAATGTTGCAGGTTTCACAGCTTGGCCTCAAGAATCTTTCACCGACCTCTATTATTGGTTTTGACATGGTTTGGAAAAGCTTGATCTGCTCACCTTGGTAGGTCAAAGTCGAGAGCTCCGGCAAAGGGCTGCCATCCGATCGAACTGCAGCATTGAATGCATTAGCGTCCATGGCGCCAGCTGCAGCACCCCCCCATGATGGCTTTCATCAAGTACATCCAAACAGCTCTGGAGACGAACCTGCATGATCTCTATATACTCCAAATTTCTGGATGGACTGCAACCAGTTCGCCGGCACCACATGGGTTGATATTCGAACATTTAAGTCTTTCGACAGTATGTAATTATTTCATCTGCACGAACCAGTCACCAGTGCGCGCTGACAGACCACGGCATATAAATATAGATATATATAATATATCCTCCGATGAACAGTGGTTGTTACTGAAATCAATCAATTTGTGTGTGTGTGTGTCATGTCTGGCATCAGGAAGGAACAGGCAAGGTAGGAACAAGTTGGCTTTCTTGTTGCACAGCCCCTCCAGCTTCGTTTGACCATCATCAGTTCTTGGTGGGAATGCAAAGGAATCTTAAAATCAAATACAATCACAGGAAAAGTATGAAAGGCGGTCGGATGATCAACAAAATCCCACTGTACGGTACCTGACAGTCCCAACACCAAGATTGAATTGTAAAGGAATATGAATCTGAATGAATGGCATATGAATGAGCTGTTTATGGCAGGTTCTTGTGCCTTTGTGAAGAAACTTCTCCATCCCACAGCTCTCCCACAGCCCCGTTCAGCGAGCCCGCGCCTTGTCCGCCAGCGCGGCGGAGCTTGCCTTCAAGCTGCGAGTCATGAAGGCTTCCACCTGTCATGAAGGCTTCGAGCTTGGGACCTTTCCATTCAACCCACTACGTGGGTCTACTTAGCATGAATAAAGTTATCTGAGCTTGGATATCGCTGGATCGAGATTATCATACTCTTCTGTGCTTCTGAGGTGATTGTACTGAATCTCTCAGAATCAATAGCTTTGCGGAAACTTAACAGTACAGCAAGATCCACTTGGGTGCCACCAAAGACGAACACCGCACGTTGAATAAACTCCAGTGCACAAATCAGCGGCAAACCGGCATCCTGTGGCAACGCGCAAAGGATGCTGGAACGCGTCAATAATTTGTTTTGGGGTGGTTCTTTAGATCCTTTTAGGCTTAAGTTTCCCTAAAAATCTAGAAACCAAAACATGAGTGCGAGTTTCTTCAAGGAAGCGTGAGCTATCCGCGTCCATGCGTAGTAGCTACTTAAGCTACTAGCAACCTAGCTACCTAGCTACTGCCTCTACGACCTAGGCCCCCCCAAAAAAAAAGGTTTAGGACTCCTTTCAGCCCCTTACCACGGGACCATTTGGGTTGTCTTGTAGAGCACCATGTCTGACCACTCCACCTCTGAGCGCAGCTGCTCATTCTCATGGCCTCGGGGTCGTACGAGTTGTGTTGCGTATTGTTTGCGGTGCTATGCCTTTGCAGATCGTTTATATAACAGTTAGTCAGATTGTATGGATGGCTTTCCCAAACAAGTTGGCTGGTCCATGAGAAGTAATAGGCCTGTAAGCAGCAATGCTTGGAGGCCGCACGAACTTCACGTAGCTCTTCATCCTTTCAACAACAATCGGCGCAAGATTCATGACCGCTGCATTGCTGACAACACGCAGCATTGCATTGCATTTGCATTGCGCGGCACGTCTTTTTGAAGGCCAGGAGCGATGCTTTACGCCCCAGAGGCCCATAGCTATCACCGGATCCTGCTCCCATCAAGCACTTCAGATGAATCAGCGTAACGTGAACATGTAAATGCTGCGTGAAGCAATGTTACAACTACTCTCTCACATAAATAGAGGGGGTACGCCACTAGAGGTATATAGCTACCTAGCAACTGGGTAGCTACTACCTACAAGTAAGCTACTAGTATGGACGCAGGATAGCTCACGCTTCTTCAAGGAAACTCCCCGCGCCGCCCTAAAGGCGGCGGGGGAGGCTTCCTTGAAGAAGCGCTCGCACTATGATTTAGTTTCTAGATTTTAAGGGAAACTTAAGCTGACAAGACTTCTTGAAGATCGCTTCATCCAACTGAGCTCTAATTCCCACCACGGGCTTTGTGGCGGGTCTCTCAAGAATCACAGATGGGGCAGGAGCGACCTGCCCATTCAAAGACTCTTGGATTACCCCCACACCTGGTTGGGAGCTTTGGGGCTTTGCAATCGGAGCATCCTGCAAATGTTGTCGCAAACAAGATCTCCTGATGTCATGATCGGTTTGACAATCAACTTCGATGTATCAAGATGCCCTGCATTATATAATCTAGATATCTCATCAAATGAGGTCCTTCACTCTGAGGATGTTCCTCTTGCTCTGCGTGGACTCATTAACTTCTGAAAAGCTGGACATATTGATGGCAAGTGCGATAAGACCTGTTGTTCCTTGATTCCAAGGCTTTTCAAACGGAAAACAATTCGCTTTGAAAGGCTGGCTCAGCTAGGCATCTTGAAGCCAGTAATGCTATCCTTGGATGGCGGCAAACTACCAAAATTTGAAGATATACAAGTGTCCCCAAGAATCTAGGAAACAAATGAATAGTGCGAGGGCTTCTTGGAAGGTTGAAGGGGTCATATCTGCGGACCGGCTCTGCAGTTTGGCATGCTGCATCCAATCTCTACTGTGGCTTCGCAAGAAGGGCGGGGTCAAAAGGACAGTCTGATAGAGCCCATTGAGAAAGTGGAGCTTTTTGCCTCGCGAGTTTGAGACTGTGAAACCATCACACCAACGCACACCCCTGACTACTGAGCTTCCACCGTCAGAGTCATCGTGTTTTACCTCCGGTGACTTCCACCATCAAGAAGCCCTGTAAAAAAGGAGAGCAGGACGCTGTTGGAGTGCACTTTTTTTGTAACTTCTGTTTGCTGGTTTTGCTCCATTTGCTGATGACATGACACTGATGGATTGTGAACGTTGTAATTTTGCAAGGCTCCATATATATTCTAATTCAATGTGGATTCAATGCAAATCTAATTCAAATTCAATTGTGTTAATTAATCGTTTCACCATATCCTATGCAACTCAGATTTACCACTTAATTCCAAACAAACCAAAAAGTAACAATTCTTGGTGGCCTTGGGGTCTGGGATCGTGTATTGGGTTTTTGTATTTTTTGGATGATGTTCTTTTTTTCTGGCCTTGGGGTCTGGAATCGTGTTTTCTGTTTTTGTATGCTTTTCAGCAATTTTTGGACCATGTATAACCATTGCAGTCATTGCAAATGTGCTAAGCAGAAATTGTCAGTGGCTGCAAAGGATATAGCCTTTGCAGATGAGCCAAGCAGAAATTGTTAGTATATGTGTATGTAAATAGGATGAAAAAAGGCACTCCCAGGGTGTCCCCTTCTGTAAAAAAGTGACGTGCCCTAAGCTGCGGGAATGCTAAGACTTGTCCATATCTATCGCAACATATGATTTGGAGATGATACAAAGAAATGATTAGTTTCCCTAAACAGCATCTCAGAGCCAAATCATTAGTGCGAGCGCTTCTTCAAGGAAGCGTGAGCTATCCTGCATCCAGTTACTGGAAGCTAACTAGTAACTAGGAGGTTACTCCCTTAATTAAGTAGGCTAGTAGGCACCTACTTATATAACTATATAAGTGGGAGCGGGCCTCAAAAAAGGACTATTTACAACTCGTGGTCACTGTCCCAATCAGATCACTCCTGGCACAGCCAGGGATCGATCGATGCACGGTCGGTGGCCGGCAGCCCTGCTTGGGTGCAGGAGCTGTGCAAGTCTTCCACGATTCGAATCAACGCCTAGGGCCACACCAGCTGAACACACGAACTCCCTCTTCCTAGACCAAACATCCGACATGGCAACACAAAAGAAAACGAGAGAAGGCACTCCCCTGGTTATTTGGGCGTGGCTGATGTATGCTGAACTATCTCATGTCAGCGGGAGAATTAAAAGCACTAAAACATGATGGGACCCTGGTTGCAACCCTGAATAATTACCATTCCTCACATTCGTCCTGTCTTTATCATCTTGCATTGTTGCATCACAAAATGACCTCCTTCTGCTGCATGAGCTGAGACTTCTCCTCTTCTATCTCCTTCAAGCAAGAAGCCGTTGACATTGGGGCCGATAGTGGGAGCTGCTGCTGCAAGAAACAGAAATCAAACTAATCAACGGTGACAATCAACGGTTGGAGATGCTAAATATTTTGAGAATGAAGAATTCCCCATCTGAACCTGAAAGCCACTTGCTTTGAGATGAAAGGAACACAAGAGTTTGAGGCGTCCTCAAGCATCGACTGCAACTTCATGTTTCCTTCACGGCGCTCTTCCAACTGCCGCTGAGCCTTCTGAGACATTGAGTCACAAGCGAAGAAAGACTACTTGTTCGAGGACATCCCTTAGTAGCGTCCTTGTTCCTAGTCGTGCGAGTCAGCGAAAATGAGTTTGTTTGTTTCGACTGCAAGAGGTGCAGCAAGAAATTCTGGACCGTTCTAGACACAGTGCCGGTCAAACATTCTTGTGAAATGGCCGGTGCTGGAGCGCCTCTTCTCGTTCACGCCGCAATGCTCGAATCCGAACATTGGCAGCCTGATTGAAGGAGAACATGTCGTATTGAACTTCACTTCCAAAGATTGAAAGGAACATTGCGCTCGCTTACTTGTTTGCGCCTCAATCTTGTTGTTGGCCTCCTCTCCAATCTTACTCAGCTCCAGCTGGGCCGCAGGGCTGTGTTGCACACAGGATTCTGTGGCTTCTCATTCAGAACTTTTGGGCCCAAGAGCTTCTAGCATCATATGCTGTGAAATCTGCCACAGACCCTCCCTACAAGTAGCAAGAACTAAATCTGCCCGCACTGAAGTTCATCGCTATTTTAGCTGGGAGAAAGAAATTGAGAGAGAGAGAGAGAGTTAGTTACCCTTTTCGGTTGGTAACGGAATTGCGTATCGAATCTGGCATCGTGAGGCGTGTCTGGACGGTGGGAGAAAAGATGCAAAAACACTAAAAATGCAATGTGTTGCAACATTTGATTGGGGGGTGTTATGATGTGTTATGTATGATCTGGGAGTGCAGGGTATAGGGCATGAAGTGTTACGCTTACCCGAACCATGCAAAAGAGTCGCTTGTCTGCCATTTATGGATATGGTGAGAAGGGTGATGCAAAAGATGCAAGTGCATCATGGACCTTTCAATTCGGTTGGAGAGTGATCGATGTAGGGATAGAATAAACAATAATAAACATATAGCAAATTTGTGGGCATTGCTGAATTTAAGTTGGACCCCCCTTCAAACTGTACAATTTCAAGGGGGGTCGAAACGTTGAGTAATCAGTTCGTTTACAAATTATCTAGGGTCTTGGATTGGACATGGATGAGAAAATGTCTTCCTCGTGCTCGAAGCAGAAACAACTGGTGCAGATGTTTGTCGTCGCGAAGCGACCTGAATCAGTCGTCGAGACCTCCCAGCAAGTAGCGTTTTGTTTTACTACTAGTAAGGCACTTGTTAGAAGCGATACACTTGTTACTAATAGCGTCCTTGCTCCTAGTAGTAAGACCAGGAGCAGCCCCTAGTAGCGTCCTTGCTCCTATTCAAGATTATTTTGGCACACCATACTGTAAACCTCCTCTTCTTTGATTCGTTAGCGTATCCCTGTGTCAATCCCAACATCCGCCTCAAGGGCTCGCAGCTCGCTCTGAAGCTCTACAGACAGACTCCTCTGCTCCTCCAATTCCTGGAGCAGCAAAAACTGTTTCAAAAAACCAAGCATGCCCAGAGAGATTGCTCATGCATGCTCATGCCCCAGAAGGGCGCCAAAGACATCCAAAGACTACAAGCCAGGCTGCCTTCTGCGCCTCGGCCTCCTTCCCACGCCTGAACCATGGACAGCGGAGTCACAAGCTTAGATGGGGCTGTCAAGAGCAAAACCAAAATCGGTCAAACACAGAATCTCTCAACAACAACTAAATGCAGGGTACACTTCTCTTTCAACCGGACATGGAATCCTGCACTCCAATCGGCCAATCCCTAGCCTGGAAAGTGATGCCTCACTCTGGATGGCCAAGCCTCGAACCTTGCGGAAATCAGCTGTGCTGCTGTGAGAGAGATGTGTTCAAAAAAGAACCTGGTGGAATCACGTTGCTCTTTCCTTGTGCTTTGGAGGCACCATGTCTGTTGGCTTCTGAAATCGACTTCAGCTGCTGGACTCCAGATTCGTTATGAGGTCTGGTCTGGTCTGGTCTGGCCCTGTGAAGTTCGAATAGAAAGGCTGCATTGCAAATATACACCAACGAGTATATATCAAATTGCTGCAGAATCATAGGGATACATGAGGGATGCAAACAAATGCACTACGAAATGCCCTTGCTTGAAAACTCTAGACATAAATGTGGAAGGTTCAGAGTGCTTCTCAATATGCGGCAGGCCGAGGGTTCCATAGTGGGTATGTCTTGACTGGGTCTCCATTCTTCTTGCAGCTGGCGGTTCGTTCGCTCCTCCAGGAGGGTCCTTGGCCATTGCAGTCTCCGTTTGCTGCAACTCAGAACAATAGACACAGGATGCACTTTTGTAACACGGATTCACAAATGAGGCTTGTGCCAGTGGCAGTCCAGATTGTCTAGTGAGTCTAGAGATGTCAAAATGACCTGATGACCGTCGACAATAACTAAGTATGGCTGCAGGTTCCTGTGAACTTCTACGCCTCCAATAAACACTACTAGGGGCTCCTGGCATCGCTACTAGGAGCAAGGACGCTACTAGGGGCTACTGGCCTTACTACTAGGAGCAAGGACGCTACTGGCCTTACTACTAGGAGCAATATATATATATATATGTACAGTTCTATCCATCGGTCCCTCGAATCTGGAACAGCACGTTGATGTATGTTTCTACGCTAAGCCACGCTTCAACCAAGCGACATGGACGGCTTTTCTCTCCAACCATCTCCTACCAACAGCACACAAATGGAAAGTTCAGCCATCATATATTATACAGTATACTATACATGTATGATCATGTATGCTGTATATGTCTCTGCCACGCGTCCGCACAGCCACATTCAGTATCAAAGGCAAAAAGGTCTACAGTAACACACACACACACAAAAAAAAACTTTAAAAAAAACAGCACATCAGAAGTTCAGCACAACCCATGGACAACGAGACAGATCATCAGCTTCCACAACGAGACAGCCAACGGTAAAGCCTCCCCAAAGCATCCCCCAAAGGTCTCTCGCCTCCCAATGCAGTCCACCGTCCACCCTCCAATGCTTCAGCAGAGGTGGGTGCAGTGGTGGTGCGCGAGCATGACCTAGGAATATTTGGTAGAAGCAATAAGGATACTGTATATAGATATAAGGTATTCTATAATGTGCATACATAATATATTGAGTAAAGTCATATAAAGTCCCCTTTAAAGGTTGCCTTCTTTTTCCACTCTTTTTTAAACCTAACCTAAAGAAGACAGGAAATTGACTCACCAGCTCCCAAATCCAGATTTCACAGGACTTCTTGCTCGGAGATGCAACTCTCAAAGTCCAGGCTTTGTCTACTTCCAAAACACAGACTTGCACTCAATCCTTGACTCAGGACCCAACTGAAGTTGCTCCTGCATCTGCGTGGGCTCTTAGACACAGGTTAACCATCTATTCCAAAAATCGTAAGAGTGCTCTGCAAATGCTGGTACCTACATGGCCCAACAGGAACATGAACGCTACTAGGGGCTCCTGGCATCGCTACTAGGAGCAAGGACGCTACTAGGGGTTCCTGGCCTTACTACTAGGAGCAAGGACGCTACTAGGGGCTCCTGGCCTTACTACTAGGAGCAAGGACGCTACTAGGGGCTCCTGGCCTTACTACTAGAGCAAGGACGCTACTAGGGGCTCCTGGCCTTACTACTAGGAGCAAGGACGCTACTAGCTTCTTGTTCCTAGTAGTAAGGCCAGGAGCCCCGTTCATAGCGTCCGATCGCTCCGTTCGTAGCGATGCCCTTGGATCTTCACAGCGCTCCTGCAGTGCATCGATCTCCAGCGATTGCTCCTCCGCCTGCGCCTGGGTCACTGCAAATGAAGAAGGTGCACAAATACAACCAGACTGACCAGACTACCTCTTGAAGTCTTGAGGGAAGAACAAAAGAATTGGATAGGGATAGGAATGAATGTTGATGTAGAACTGGACGATCCATATTTCCTCTATACCACAGGAAAGGTCCGGGGTTCAGCATGGTTCAGCTACAGCTGCGACATGCTGACAAAATCAGCACCTTTTTCATCTGCCAAACAATAGAGAATCAATCATCACAGCAGTCGCCAGCAGTTGGCAAGAACTCTCACAAGAATCCTGCGTGAGATGCCCAAAGTCTTTGGGCGGCTGCCACAACCAAGCTGCGCTGACAAGACTCGGCCGTACTCCAGGCCACAAGTTCATGCTGCATGTCCTCAGAGCTCGCAGTATGGGACAACATAGACACCCCTAAATAATTCCAAAATCAATCCAAGTCATCCAAGTCCTGCAAAAGAAGCAACCACAAATGAACACCTACGGGTTGAACTGGTTCGCGGTTCTGCGGGAAGGGACATGCTGAAGCAATCTACCTCCAGCTTAAAGTGGTCGCAGTGCCGAAATTGTTGCCCTTCAGTCCAAGTACGTTAAGGCCCTATTGGCCCTACTATAGAAGGCCTCGGTTACATGTGGGTGGGAGGAGAAGACCGGACCAGTACGGCAATCAAATTGCCAAGACGCTTCTTGAGGTGGTCGCTGACCCCTGCGCCAAAAGGGTTGTCTTCGCAACATTGCAGCTTTCAGGTGGCGAAAGCTCAGTGGCTGCACTTCCCAAATGTTCACCTTCTTTCGTCAAAGCAACTGAGTGAATGTTCAAAACGGTATTCTATTGCTTTCCAAGAACTACTAGGAACAAGTGCATCGCTACTAGTAACAAGTGCCTTAGTGCTAATAACAAGAAGCGAACGTAGAAACAAGAAGCCTATTGCTGAAACCAATCACTTGTTCTACAGAAGGGTCTACAGAAGGCTTTCCGACCTGTGGTGACACATGTGTACGTCTACGTACGTGTGTGCAGGTGTACCTATCATTGTGCTTGTGGCCAGCTGCAATTAAAAAATGAATCCGGCGTGCCTAACCGCAAACTTCCGCAAGTCCAATGAACATGGGTAGCTATGGGTAGCTGGATAGAGTGGGCCAACCACCTTAGTGCAACCTTTGCTCCAGGGCCTGGGATAGCTCACGCACTTTTCATTTGGTTCGCAGATTTTTAGGGAAACCTCCTAAAATGGTTTCTGTTGGTCCGTTGGTCTCCACTCTTTGTTTTCATAAGGCAAGGCTCCAAGATGCCAAGGAATCTCGATCTGCGCAACAAGTTCGAGACCATCATTGCCGCGCCAGGTGTCAGGTAAAAGTGCTCCAAGTTTAAATGCCTTTCATCAGGTACCACACAAAGTTCCGGAGAGCCAAAGCCAGAAACTTCTGAATCAGAACAAATATATTACAGTAAATAGTAAAATCAATATCATGCACTGGCCAATCTTTTGTGAGGATGTACACTGTACACTTATACGAATGTCCACCGTCTAACCTCCCATTTTGAGGATATTTGAGGTATGTCAAAAATAGAAACAGTATGCCTTTCCACCAGATATTATAGACCAGGTGCAGTGCACAAATCTTTCCACTGGTGAAGGATGTGTTAGCACCATGTAATACTGCGAGTTCATCACCTTGCACGTGGATCTTCAGAAGGTCAATGGGCCCAGACGGTGCCAATGTCATCAAATAATTATCCAGAGTCTCAGCTTTGGTGGATCGGGAGATGCACTGGTATTCATAGTTGGAAGGAACTTCATATTGCCTCTGACAGCTCTGGAATGTTGCAAGTGCCATTGAATGACTTGGGAAACCAATGTCCAGAGTGCCAGGCTCATCCCTCAAGGCAATTCTTTCCACCACGATGTCTTTGGGACTCAACCGGGCAGATCTCCCAAAGGCCGCTGCCTGTGCTGGGAGTGGTTCAAAGCCTCTAAGCTCTAAATGGCTGAAGCCATCTAGGACGGCTGACACCCACAGAAGGCAATCCCCATAACTGGCTCCAACATCCCAAATTCGAGTCTCGATATTCGCTTCAGTTTCTCCCACGACTGCCAATGCTAATGCCAGCTGCAAAAAGCCTTCCTGATAACACATGGGCTGCTCTGTCGCGCGAAGCATATTGCTCACAGCATCAAATCCTGATCGGGTTCTGCGCTGCCATAGATTCACAACATTTCGCAACCAAACAGCATCCTACAAGGTCACTCTAACACACCGGTGAAACCAGGGCATAAGTCAGTCCTGGATGCACATGCTGTACTAGAAGTGGAAACGACTGTTTCCAAAACGAAGGCACAATCTTGCGAAGGAGCCCTCCAGGAAAGTGCACGCTGTTCTGGAGCAACTTGCCTCTGACGAACCCCTGCGAGATCACACCTAAATTCAATGAAATCTTTTGCTGACAGAACCATCTACTAGGGGTTCCGAAACTTCCTGCAATAGTCTTGATTCGCTTGATTGAAGTAACTCTAGCCAAAATTCGCCCAGCTCTATCGGTTCGCGGATAGCAAAAGGCGCACCTGGATGTGTGAGTACTACAGAGGGCCAAGAGAGCGACTGCAAGAGGGTGACCAACGGAAGCTTCAGATTCATGAGCAAAGAAAATGGACCTCGCAATTACAATCTGATTGAAATTTGAAAGCGACGCATCTATCGTCATCGATGCATTCGTGCATGCGTATGTTTAAGTGGAAGTTTGACCCTGAATTGTCAAAACAAGCCTCACTCGCCATCAATGGAGGTTTGCTTGGTTGAAGCCGAAAAGGTTCAGAATATTGAATCCGAGACAAGAGGCGTAAACAATAATAAACAATGCACGAAAACCTGGCATTGATTCGGCCAAAGGGCGTCTCACCGCTGCAAACCATTGCCGCAAGAGCATGCCAACAAAGCTGAACAAGCGCTTAGCTTCCATTGCCAAAGCAGCTTCCTCGCCTTGCTCTGCTCGTGGCAGTTGATAGTTACGGAGGTTGTGAATCTCCACCTTACATTCCCCCAGAGTTGCCAAAGGAGACTGAAGAACTGTAGGATTGTGGGATGCTCTGACAAGTGTGATCAGGCAAATCCGACAACGAAGGCAAATTAGATGAAGGTAGGCCCTCGTTGTAGGCTTCCAACATGTCAAACCCGTTGAACATCGTTTGCCGCGGATGAAATTGACAGCGATTGTGTCTCTGACTGTGACTACTCGACCTTTCCAGTCCGCCTCCTCACCAAAAACCTTGATATCCTCTGTGCCACGTTGGCATACGTGTCCAACGTAGCTTGTTGGGCAACTAAAAGATCAAATGAGATCAATGTGAATCAAACACGGTATTGCAAGCCCTTTTCAACCAGTCTCACCTTTGGATCCTTAGACTATTATATGGCACTTCCACGGACCTACATAGGTTAGAAAATGTTAGAAATATGAATGTCTTTTGGACTCTGACTCCCAGCCGTCCCCCTTGGCGAGCCACCAATGATGTGAGAATGGGCACCAATTGAGCAAGACCCATGTCGCCGGACTTGGTGATGCTGTTCCTTGACATGTCAAGGCTTGTCAAATACATTCATATTCTGTATCTAATTATATATTATATATATATGTGTGTGTGTGTAACCGCTATATACACACAGAGAGACACTCTACTATGACTAATCTTGAATCTTGGCCAAACTGTCTTGGAACAAGACAACTCTCTAATGTTCAATTCAAGCTTCACAAGCTTGAGCACAGTGTCAACAGGTATCCTTCTGCCTTGACCATTTTGGACTGCCTTGACAACTGTTTCGCTCCATTTGATGGTGTGCTCTTTTGGCGGCTGCAAAGGCAGCCGCTTGTGTGCCATCTGTTGAAAGGCTTCATCAAAACGGAAGAGATCCAACGAAATGAACAGCGGCCAGCCAGAGACCAGGATCTCTTCCAATGTCACCGGGCTGCTAAAGAGCGTCAGCAACAAGCTCTCAGCTCTGTCGTAGTCCTCGTCTTTCTGCTCCTGTGTGCGGTACTGTCTGTAGTGGCCAACGTGAATGAGCGACAGCATACTGGACAGCACACCACCAATTAAACACTCTTTCGGAGAAGCCTGGTCCAGTGGCGTCTCCCTGAGTTCGGTGAAGACACGGAAAAGTGATAAGGTCTGGCGCAAGCGCTGCCAGTAAAGACCCTTGTCATTGCAAGAGAAGGATCGAGGTGCCCACTCAGTCTTTGCCACGCAGCAAGACTCATATGTCCGTGAGCCGTCCCAACATGTCCCTGGAGGAGCGCCATTCCAATGGACACAGCATGTCTCAAAGGTCTGATTGCCGGACCAGCATCCGGAAGAGTCTGGATGAGCAGCTCCCCACCGTAAAGCGTGATCATAAGTTGATTGTGAGAAATGACTGTTGTGCGTAAATCCCAACGCTTGACCAGCTATCGTTGCAATACTCAAGTACCAAGAGTGTGAACAAAAGAGCTCCATAAAACGCTGCAGTCGCACCGAAAGTCAAAGCAACTGCCCATGGGCGCCCATGGGTCTATGACACTCAACGACACTCTACGTGCATGGATGTTTTAGCTCGAGAATCCAAAGCTGGGAGGGCCAAGGCCGGCATGAAAATATATTCTCTGGTCAAACCAGTAGACACACCTGGCAACATTGCTTGGATTATCCTCCTAGCAAATTGAAACATACTCTGGTGGCGGCATTGCTGTTGTGAGTTTGAAGAATGTATGCAAACGGTGCGTCTTAATTAGTGCTATGCTAAAGTGCTAAAGTGTGGGTGCAGTGCTTGTCCCTCTGTGGTCTGTGTTTGCCTTGAATCAATTCCAGCAAGAAGTGAAGAGTGGCTCCGTTGCTTGAGCACTCCGGAGCTCAGAAATTTGAAAGCTTGTTACCACTTGCTGGACTCTTTTCTGGGGCTGCCGGCTCTTAAGTGCAGAAGCCGCTGGAGAAGGTCACTGCCACCGGGGGGGTTAGCCTGGACAAAGCTCAAACACGACTGCCATGCGTTTGGGAAATGGCCACCCAAACGCATAGCAAATCGATTTGGCCTCCAAGTGTTGTGCTGCGCACCTCGGCGGCGTAGTTCAAATGACTCAAAAATGGAGCTTGTTAGTGTATATGCAAAGTTGGCAGGGGAAAATACCTACATGATCAAGACGATGCAGCCAAAGGGCATAATGGCATGCTGCTGTTGCGAACGCAGAAGCGGACCCCAGCGGTTGATCCGATCTTTCCTGCAGCGAGTTGTTCTGCACTGTTTTTTTTGATGTTCTGATTCTTCTCGAAGAGTTCCACAACCCGGGGTCAAGGGCACAAACATCTAATAATTCCAATATATTATAAGACTTATGATAATATATGTGTTGCATTTCTTTCAGATCAACATAGATCAACTGTAGCTACCAGTGCAGTTCTTGCAAACCCCAGGGAGCCATGATAAGTGTGCCAAATCAACAAACTAGTACAAAAGGCACTTATGCTGGTCATGCTTGCATTTAGTTGATGCTCAGTCGTCGTTGTCACATTTCATCCGCACGTTGCTGGGGCGACCTTCTTTGTCCACACTGTCATCTCCTCGGCAAGTTTGGCCCCCACTGGATTCGATCGGATTCCGCAAGCTCGGTGTTTTGGCACAGGGAGATACAGGCCTGGAAGTCACAACTCACCACAGCACTAGTCACAAAGGAACATTGTAATTAATTATTAATTAGATGTAATTAGCAAGAACATGCAAGAACTAAAGTCGAACCATGGAAGCAGCAACACGATCTTGCCTTCGGCTGGTACAGCTGGCGAGGCCCGCTCATGATGTTCTGCCACAAGCAAGTCATGGCAGATTGCCAACAACGTGAGCATGTCTTAAGATATCTTAAGTATGTCTCCAAGTGTCTGTGTCCAGAGACTACAAGTCTTTGACGCTTTCAGCTAACACTCCAGAGTTGTTTGCCTGCATCAGCGCCTCTGAGCCATTTGAGAAAGCACCACCATAGCCTGTCGTGTGAGGGTGTCTCCAAGAACTTTCTAAAAGAGAGGGATAGAGACCCTCCATGACAATACTGCGGACCGCGCAGCGATGCGCTGCCTCGCACGCTGCATGGGTCGACCCACCTGACCTAGCTGCGCCACGGAGTCATTCAGACCGGCACTCTCCAGGTTCACCTCAAATCAGGTCACATCAAAAAGCAACGCGGAACCACTTGGAGCACCTCGGTGGTTGAGGCATGTTGAGGCTACAGCCCAGGTCTGGTACAACATGCGATTGCAGTGGTCTCCAAGGTGTTTCAGAGGAATGCGAACCTGTCATTGGCAGGTCAAAGCTTGGAACTGATTCACCAAGCTGTTATCCGAATCTAGTATGAAGTCAACCAGCCCTGTTGCTTGGTCTCTCTATTTGAAGTCGTCTCATCCCGCCTCACCCAAAGCCCGTTTCTCTGCATGTTTTGACAGCGGCGGGGTGTCCAGCATGGCCCAAACCTTGCTAATCTTCACGCAGAAAAAGCGGACCATATCACAAAATAAGAATTCCCCTGTTGTGTTCTCTGCCTTGATCACTAACACAGCATCAAGCTGTAGTGACCTGAGTAGCATGCGTGTTTGCAGTGCTTTCAATGTTGATTTGCATCTACTCCTTCATGCGAGCATACAAGAATTATATGGTCCAGATAGTCAGGCAATTCATTGTCCAATGCCGTCCATATGTCCTTTGCCTTCACCCCTCTCAGATCCAGGCTTGGCTATGCCCACAGACTTCAAAGCTATGAACTCTTCCCCAGCTACCCGATGCTCTGCGTCTGCCAACCTAGCACCAGCATGCACCAGCTTTTACCCACAAATGTTGATTGTTGTAAATTACGCAAGGCTTCCAAATTCCAGCTCCAACATGTTACTTCGGTGCCATTTTCATGAAGGCCAAAGGCTCATCAATAACTGGCTAACTGGCCACGTCTGGGTCATTCTCCGGGTGTCTGACGTCATGCAAATCGTCTCTCCTGGCTGCATGTTCACTGAACGCACCTGGCGACATCGCACGATGTTAGATCGGCAAGAAGGGATTAGGAAAGTATGAAATACTTTGAAAAACTTGCAAAAACCTGGTGAAAGCAAACAAATGCAAAATGTCTCTACTGGTTTCTATGTTGTTTGGGTAGGGCCTCATGACATATGACTGCAATGTCGAACTTGCCGACACCACCGTCGAAAATGGAGCAGGCTTCCTTGGTCGGCTGCAAGTGGCCCCATCTCAACAAGCTGGAGGATGCAACCAGATGGACTGAATAGCTGGACGCCCACTTCCGTCAACTACACCAAACATATCCAAACATCCTCAACTGGTGCAGCGTAGTCTCCCTCCCCAGGTTGAAGCTTCTCAACAGTGCATCCACCATGGCATTGAGAAAGTTTTTGCAAGCGTCTTAGTGCTGTTGCCTTCGCAAAGCCTATATATATATACACATTCATCTAGAATCTACAGTCTACAGGGCCTACTTACCTTGGAACATCTACAACGGCCCAGAGCCAAAACCGTTGGCTAAAAGGTTAGATCCGAATGTAAAGTCCCTTCAAGTTATTGATGGTTCTTGTATGTGGCAAGTTGTCGCAGGCATTTCCTTGAAATGCAAAGTTTTGCAAATTGAATGCATGCTCATCCCAACATGTGAGACAAACTAACATGGATGGATATTCATATTGCCATTTGCCCCTTCAGCTTTGAGCCAAATGGATCCAAAGATTTCAATCTCACGGACCATCACAGAAGTAGAGTCGAATGATCTTGAAAGCCACCGCTGCTTCTGGACCACCGGCAAATCTGAAACGTAGCAAGAAGCTACTAGTAGCAAGGGCATCGCTACTACTAGCAAGGACCCTCCTAGTATATCATCACGAATCACGCATGAAACGTCGGAAGGAATAAGAAACTGCGACTGTGTGGAGTCTAAACGCCTGCACCCTGATCAGCTGCTTGTAGTGGTCCGCAACATCTTCGCTGAGTCCACTGCCACCTACACCTCAAGGTTTCATGGCTCGTGACAACTCCCGATGAAATTGTCAGCTGCGTGCAAATCAGATTATTCATGGCATCACCCTAAACCCGAAACTGCTGAAATACTGGAATACGTGTGAATACGTAAGTAAAAGCACTATAAAATTGCATAAAATGGTAAATGCACTGGAATAGCTTAATGATGAAATGTGACCCAACCCAAAATCTCCCAACTAACATTTAGAATTTAGAATACGTGTGAAGTGAACCTCCTCCGATTGCGTCAGGGTGTGCAAGTTGCATTCGGCTTGCAATCTCTGAAACCGCCGATCGTCCGAAATGGCTACCTTCCGGACTTTCAAGAATCGTGTGCTACGCAAAAGTGGGCGAGTCTAAAATATCAATAATTTATTCCATAAATCCTTGCAATTCAAGGACGCTACTAGGGGCTCCTGGCATCGCTACTAGGAGCACGGACGCTACTAGGGGCTCCTGGCCATACTATATACTAGGACCAGGAACAAGAGGCTATTAGAAACAAGTTCGCTTGACAGGCCATGTCATGCCAGCCTTGTGATACGTACAGCTGCACCATGCGCCGTTGAACAGCCTGGGATTGCAATTATGCACACAACTGTACAAAACATATTCTTTGACTTCACAAATCTTTCCCATGAACCAAGCGGTTTACACCAGGCTAAGCTTGACAATAACGGTTCGTTGAACATCGTCGTAGGTTTCCAGGCGCGTTGATGCTCTCGAACGAATCCGCGGTAGTGACCGTTGAACCAGCCTCTCGGCTTGTACAAGGATCTATTTTGTCAGTGAATGCTCGCACACAAACACCGAAGTTGATATGCATTATTCAATATACAGCCCCGTGTACAGCCCAAGTCACTAGTAGTAAGATCTATATTAAACACATAGCAAGCCTGTTCGTAATCGAATATCATCTCATCTTTCTTGTTCCGACCCTTTTTTCGACGGAACTCCTGAGGCTTCCGACGGAACTCCCCCAAGGACCGGGCAGGGCGCCTGAATGCTCCCAGATTCTCGCGAGACATACGGGTGTCATGTAAGAATGGACACTGTCTGCATGGTCCCTCGATGTTGTGTGTGTGTGTGTCTCAGTTTATGTACGGATAACATGTTTTCCCTCAGTGATGTGCCTAACCTGCAACATTAAGACTTATATAGGATTGTCTATACTACACACCGGGGTTCCCGGCTGCAAAGCTTCTGAACGCCAAAGGCATTCGACCTTATGTAGCGGGCAACCACAGCTTTGGCTTTGGCCTTTCTGTAGAATCGGGAGCTTGCTTAACTTTGACTAAACGCGTCACCACAGGCCACAGGCTTTCAAAAATGATCAAGAATCATCAAAAAACGAAAGGAACAGGGCATCATCTTCGAAAAGGTGCCTTGTGCTGGAAGGTCTCAATTCCGATGCCTGAAGTTTCAAGCCAAGAATATCGAATCATTTGTACACACAAATGCATTCATTGAGAACGTGATTGTACATGTTACGATAATCTGTTGCTGTCCTTTCACACGGTACTCAGCATTCCTTAGATCCAGGCGCTGTGATATTAAGCTCATGGAATCCACTGCCTGAGCCAGTTTCCACCGATCCCCATCTCGAGAATGGCCACAAGACTTGACGTAGCCGATGCTTAGCGCAAAGTCTCGATTGTTCTTGGTTTGGTTCAATTGACGACAGCCGAGATGGATTTGGGAGGCGGAGTCTGTTGATTAGAACCACTGGATAAGTGTTGCAATACCTATGAATGGCTCTTCACGAGAAGATACGAGAAGGGACTCTTAAGTACCCTGGAATTGGACAAAATCAAGAGAATCCAACCCATATCAGGCCTCGCTCTCTGACATGATGCATGCGCCCATGATGAGGCAAGCAAGGCCTGCGCTATGACCACTATGACCAGGGAAGCAAGCTGCATGCGGCATCTTACGCTTGAGCTCTGCAATCTGCACCTTGGATCTGGACTCCATAGAAAGCACCGGCACCACCTTGTTTGTTCAGCTGGGCAAAGCTTCTCACGGTGCTCAGAGTATCAAAGAGTCATAGTATAAGTAGAAACAAGAAGCTACTAGTAACAAGTGCCACGCTAGTAGTAACAGGTGCCTTACTAGTAGTAACACTGAAGGTTCATCAAAGGCACTGAAGGCTGTGAGGTCCATGGCCTCAGGGAGGTTGGTGAGGTGGTCGAAGAAACAAAAAAAGGCGGGAGAGACTTGGAGAGACCTGCATGCTGGAAAAGGCATACTCGCAAATACCCATATACTCCTCTTTCGCAGTTGTGCACAGAAATTATGGTTTTGAGTTCTTGTATCTTCTTCTTGGCTGGGTCTGCCACCACAGGTATCATCACAGGAGATGTGGCGAAGCTTGAGAGCACTGGTGGACAGTTGGCCTGAAGACTACAATGCCCTCGCTGCCATGCACCATCAAGTGAAGTCAATAATCTGACTGGGATCTGAGCCAACCAATAGAGCAAAAGCTTCAAAAAACCCACGAGACAGGCCTCGGGCATTGATCGTTCCAACCGTTTGGGTAAAGCCGCTTCCAAAACTATTCCAAAACCGTGTGATGCAAAGGGGCCAATTCATTCGGCCGCCCATCTGAATCTGCCTCATCGTGGTTAAATGAACACATCTGAAACAGAAACTTGCTTGAACACAAGAACCTGTTGGCGCAGGAAAAGTGCCAAGGTGTTGACAAATTCTGAGTCAGAGGACTGTTGAAGAAAGAGAAGCAGAATATATAATTCAAGGAGACTGTATAAAAGAACCCATGGCTATCTGGCTAGCCTCATTTGCGTGAGCTCCCACGGTCCTGAATTGTGGACAGGTTTTGAAAATCCAAGACCGCAAGAAAATAGCAACTGATTATTATACGTGTTAAATGAAACATTGACAATTGATCTTAATATACTGTATCATCCATACTATTTAGCAACTGGATAGGATAAAACCGTGGTGATGCAATGAAAGTTGCAGCAATGTTGCATACATTACGCGATCTCTCAGGTCGGCCTTGCCATGGCAGAGAATGCTCGAAACCTGGGTCAGTACGGTCAGCGTGTTGCAGTTGTAGTCGGCTGTAGTCGGTTGTAGTCGGCTGCTCGGCTGTAGTCGGCTGTATGAAAACATTGTGCCCTATGGCACAATGTATTCTATATATATATATATATCAACACTTCTTGCCGTTAGAAACACCTCTTTCACACTCATTGAGCTTCTGACAGCAGCTCCTGGAAAGTCTCGGCTGGTCCGGCATCACTAGGAATTGACACCGGCATTGCCACACAGGCGGTTTGAACCTCGTGGACGGCTTCAAGGACTTCAGCTGTCAAGCAGGTACCAACAAGGGTGGTCAATTGAGTCGAACAAGAGTGCTCGGCTGGGTCACAATAGTCGCACACGAGACAGCTTGAGAACACAAGCAAGAGATAGAGAGAGAGAGAGAGTTCGGCATGGCTCGCCAATCTTCCTACAGCTTTCTTATGGGGACCTTGTGTAAACTTCAATGATCTGACCTGGGCATGACCATTACCTGAAACTGTCAAACATCGGTGCGTCATGACCATTCACCTCTGAGTTTCTTTGTCTGAGGTCAGCAACATTGGCATTGCCCACAAGGGTGGCCAGCAGCAGTTGCAGCCTGTGCAAGAGGGCTAGGCTCCGAGTCTCTTTCCAGTTGGAGTTCCGTCTTGGTAGGCTGGTTGGGGTACAAACCAAAATCTCCTTGGTGCTGGCATGGACTAGTATGGACTGCTGCATGGCATCGCTTCCGATGAACTCTGGGTTCTTGGCGCAAACCACAATGAATCGGAGGAAGCACCTCCTCAGATTGAAGACTCCAATCATTTACACCTCTAGATAGGTTTCGTCAGTGTCTATCTCCAGCCTCCACGTGCTGCAGCCTGGAGAGGTTGAGACCCTCTAAGTTCAATCAAGTACTTGGCGCACATTGATAGTGCCAAAATATGCCAAGCAATTCTACGGAAATTACTCCGTGCTGCTGTTGAGTCGTTGTGAACAAGCAAAAACCCTTTTACTTCAGTACAGCAACGTTACACTATACACACCTCATCTCAAGTGATTTCCAAGATGTGCTGCTCCGTCTTTGCCCAGGAGGGCTGCCGTGAGACGCAATGATGCACTATCTAGAAATCCAATTGTCTTATACTATCTTGGCATCTCTTATCTATCTTGGTGTTGAGCATGATTGTTTAACTTCAACTCAGCTTGTAGGTTGAAGGCCATCGCTATTAGGTTGAAGGCCATCGCTATGAGGTTGGAGGCCATCGCTCTTAGGTTGGAGGCCATCGCTCTTAGGTTGGAGGCCATTGCTCTTAGGTTGAAGGCCATCGCTATTAGGTTGAAGGCCATCGCTATTAGGTTGGAGGCCATCGCTATTAGGTTGAAGGCCATCGCTATTAGGTTGGAAGCCATCGCTATTAGGTTGGAGGACCATCGCTATTAGGTTGAAGGCCATCGCTAATTATTAGGTTGGAGGCCATCGCTCTTAGGTTGGAGGCCATCGCTCTTGGGTTGGAGGCCATCGCTCTTAGGTTGGAGGCCATCGCTCTTGGGTTGGAGGCCATTGCTCTTGGGTTGGAGGCCATTGCTATTGGAGTCTGAGTCATATTTCCCCAGCCAATGTTCGCCTCCAGAAGCTCCACCACCAAACGCCCTGCAGGTGTCGCCTGCAAAGCTTTTGAGATGCTGCTTGCAGATGTGAAAACCCAGAACTGAACTCTGCGAAGGGTTGTGTTGTACATCGACATCAAAAGCGATGTTTCGATCCGGTGAACATCTTGACGTCACTCAACGATCTTTGCGATCCACCGTCCTGTCCTCATTGGGCTCCTCCTGAAGTTCAGGACCGAGAGAAGAGCAAAGGAAGGACCTCTGATCGTCGGAAGTTGGACAAGGAATAAATTGCAAAAAAAAGCATGTCCATAGTCCATGACTTGAAGCACATGAAATCTAC